ACAATATGCTACAAACAACATGACAAAGGCTGACATGCATAAAAGGGCTTGGACCCCRGTCATAACTGCTTTGCAGTTCTAGTTTAATTATTATTATTATTATGAATTGTTCACTGTCGGCTGTACTTTTCCATTAAATTGTACAGGTAACTATTCCGGTGTGTGTGTTCTCAATCTGTCTATCATACGACTCTTTCTCCATTCAAATTGAGATTCCCCGGTGTTACGTACTTTTGCCAATAATTCATGAGCGATCTGCGCCCCTGGCCGGCCTTTAGCATTTTTATTTAATCTGCTGAGCCCCACCACGTGCTCGCTCATCAATAATGCACGCAGACATGTGTGTTAACACATCCATGGTGTGTGAGAGGAACGGCGGCAGAGAGTGAGTGAGCGTGCGACAGCAACCGAAGCACGTGATGATGAAGAGTCTGTTTGTGTGTAATGTTGCACCATGTGACAGGATTGTGCTGTCATATTAAGCATCTGAAAAATAAATATTTGTCAGATGCTTTTCATATTTAAATCGACAAACACTGATGACCCACAGCTCGCCTGCGAACTTTCGGCACAAATTAAACACTAGTGACTTCTATATAACTAAGAAAAGCAAAATATTTTATGATCCACTGAAGGATTTGTAATTAAACTCTGAGAAAACACTGACTGGACGTCCACAACTCATTAACCTTTGAACTCAACCTAATTCAAGATGGCTGCCACAGTTAAAATTTGGAGTTGAGTTTTGTCCTCAACAAACATCATGAAATGTGTTATCTGAGAACCTTGGCATAAACTGTTGGAGCTCATTTTGTCAACAAAGTATCTCATAAACCACTGGACAGGTTTCTGCAGCTGCAGTTCTGATTTGTTGGAACTGTACAGWAAATAAACATTTGCGTGTGTTTGTGAATGTGAATGAGAGCCGCTGAGAAACAGAATCACATCGAGGGAAATTGACTTCACCAAATCTGTGGGTCAGGAGGTAACATCACCAGGGGTTGCTATGGAGACACCCAATGACGGGGCTTCCCATCCAGAGCAACAACACGCCTGTAAAATGGCAGTTCCCCTAACGTAACCTCGCTCTGTCTCCCTCTCTTCTCTGTGATTCTCTCTTTTATTCTATCACTCGTTCTGGAAACATTTTCTTCTCTTTCTCTGTCATTGACTTTTTTTGTGTTTTCATTTCTGCCACCACTTTTTTTTCTTTCCCTTCTTTGTTGCTTTAATTCTCCATCACCTTTTCATGCTACAGCTTGCTGGCTCAAACAACCGAACCATGCGTGGAAATGTGCCTGTGGACAAACGCGCATACACACACACACACACACACTCAAATACCCATACACACACTTGTATACAACAAAATGTGAGGGGGCAGCAGGATCCCAGCATGCAGGGTTTAACAGCTAATACCCCTTAGATTAACCACCCCCGGTTCCTATCTTACAAACACACACACACTCAGACACACACATACAACATCTTCCACAAACCAAGATTAGACAGCCACCTACGATTTACACAGTGTGTGTGGTGGCGGCTGTGCACAAATACACACATGCGCACCTTCAGGGTTTGTTGCTATACCCCTGACAAATAAAAACAAACAAAATGAGCCTTAAGTGACCGAGTTGCAGTTCATGTGACTCTCTCTCTCTCTCTCTCTCTCTCTCTCTCTCTCTCTCTCTCTCTCTCTCTC